GACTTTTAGTCCGCAACTTCTACGACTGCATCATTACCGCCACTTTTTATTTGGGACGCCTTCATTTTTGTTTGAATTATTTCAGGCCAGCTTTCATTTTCCCCTTACCTGAGCAACTTCTCCCCTTGGAGAAAATACAAACAGCAAAGGTAAACAAAATATTAGATAGCGAATTAATCAAACAGCCTTTCCGCGTAGCCAATCTCTTGCCCACACAAGCATTCAATATTACCCCTCAACAAACGCCCATCTTATTTTTTTTTTTTTTTTTTTTTTTTTTTTTTAGCTCAACTAAATTTCAGATCCCGCCAGGCAATGAAGTAAATCAAAATAGTTACAACTTGGACCAAAAAGGAAAAAAGGCTTCACAAAGCCCCCGCCAAGGACACTCCGCGTCCCCTGTAGGCTCCTATGAATCTACCCGCACACCATCACCAATCCGTCCACACCCACCGGAGACGCAACCTGTTCTCCCCAACCCGTCAGGATGGCTCATGCGCCAAATTTCACCCCTAGCGCAGCGGCGTGATTGGGCGATCGGTTTCCGTTTTGGGTGTGCGGGTTGAGTTTCTGACTGTCAGGTTGAAGTCATCTGGCCAGTTTGTTTTTGGCTAGTTACCGGCATCCGCTCAGCTGGATGTGTCGTTAATTCAAACATGGCCTGGCCGCATTTTTTGGTTTCCTCCGATTAATTAATCGATTAATTACTTAATTAGATAGGTAGTAACTAATTAATGAATATGTAACAAGCATATATATATACATATATCCGGTATTAAGCTTTATTCGAGGCGCTGCCGGAATCTTTTGTTGATAATAATAATCATGGTGATATCTACAGATGTATATAAAGCCTCTTCCCCACAGCAGTGCGACATTCAGAAGGGGTTTTCCTGCCCTAGCCCCATAGTCAAGCTCAAGCCCGGACGGAGAACGCAGGGCAACAGGCGTAACATCACGCAGATATGCAGGGGTTATATTGTTGTATTGGGAGGCCGAATATATGTCGTTCGTTCATCGTTATTTGTCACCACTTAGTAGTTACCAACTAACTTCTCGAGGTGGCATCCCGGAGAGAGCAGAGTGCCATCGTTGAAGGCTCTCGAGAGCAGCTCGTCGTCTCCAATCAATAAGGGGGAGACAAATCGGCGCACCGCCCTGTATGCAACTTTCCGTCTGCAACAGCGGGAGAGGCAGGGAGTTTATTTGTGCTGGGGAAATATCTACTTCATTTCGATAGATACCAGCATTCAGTCAAACTTATTGAGTAGATTGGTTGAGTAAATAGTGTCCAGCATCGCGCCTCGAGGATCAACTATACATACAACAGCATGTTTTATGTTCAAAACAGTCTAATATAGATACTAGTATCATTAGCAACTCCTATTTGCTACTGACCTGTGTTTGGAGGATTATGCTATTTCATCAGAAGGGACTCCTGAAGGGATATAACTCTAAAGATATTCTGAAGCCAACAAGAAACTAACGCTTGGATGAAAAAAAAAAGGGATGCGGAAGCCTTTGGATGGAATGTTCGAGGAATGCAAACACACCGTCAAGCGTCTGAATCCTAAGATCTCAAGAGTCCTTTGAAGAAATCTTGTGGCATGTCATCACACTTTTCATTGGATGAGTCAGGCCTTAAAATGATTAGCCGTAACAGGCTGCGAATACGCCTTACGATTAGGCGCGGCAGCATAGTCCTCCCACGCTAAAAAGCTCCGCTCTTAGGAGGAATTGCGGGCTTAACGGCAGTATTTTTTGCTGGGTCTCGATGCGGAGCTTTATCTCTGCTGCGATAAACCAACGTCTCCACCACACCAGCACCGCTGCCGCATGGTGGACATGGTCGCAGCCAATAACAATGTCTAGGGCAGTTGAGCTGCGAAGTGTAACGAGGATAATTGTTAAAACCGCCCGAGTAACATCACTACCGCATGCCCTTTCGTCACGGATGGGCTCTTGCGGTGAAGGGTTGCGGGGTGGTCGAGGGAATACAAACGCGCCCAAGCATCAGGGATCTTTTCCTCCGCTGCCATATCCAGCAATTTCTTTACTTCGGCTTATAGATCGTACATTCTTGCCATGACTCTAAAGCCACAGGACCGTAAATTGTAATGTCCAGTGCAGGATGTGTGGGGGCCCCAAATTATGACTGACATGTTGACGGATGCTTCCTTACCCCGCATATGATTTTCAGGCCTACATTATTCCAAGACCAAAAACAGTCCGTTTATTTTACTAAATTTAGTTGAGCAACACCTCCAGCAGTGGCAAAAGAATAGATTGAAAAAATAGGAAAAGCAAGAAAAGAAAAGGAAAGATAAGGAAATCCATCCAAGCATGCTTCGAAACTCACTGTGTAGTAAACCTTGCGAACTACAATATCTATCAGACTTCAAAGTTCTTCAATGCACAAAAAGCATGCGCGTGCGTTTGGATGGCTTTCTGCTGTGATCAGAAGGAAATTGTTTTGAGCTGCTAACATACATCGCGGCGATCATTTCCACATAACAGTTCACTGCACTCCGTACAGTACGTGTTTTCAGTGAGTGAAAACCTGCCGAAGCTAATATTGCGTTGAGGACAAGTATCAAGTAGGGGAGGCAACTATATTTGTGACGAACGAGCAAAATATCCATTAGGAAACACTACCATACGCGAGCTACAAGCGATGGAGACGCAGGCTGCCAGGAATACTCAGGTGACAAGGGAAGAACTTGGAGACAAACGTAAAATTATGCAAATAATGGAGTGGTATGTCTCACCAGCGAAAAAAAAAAAAAGGGGGGGGGAGGTTGGAAGAAGGGGGCAACTGTCTTTCAGGCTCATTTCTCCGCGAACAAGTAGCCCATGAAACATCACAGCTTGAGTAAAGTGGAAACTGGAAAATCCAGTGATACACGCTTGAAATCGTCGGGGAAATGGAATTCACAAACGATATGAACGGAGATATGGGGGCGAGCAGGGTCGCTTGGTCGGGAGTCAAATGGAAGAGAAAGTGCGCTGCGCCAATGAGGAGGTGACGCAATGGGCGGGAGCGCAAAGTGGCAGACGATCACCTCTCAGCTCTTTCAGGGATGAGGGCGTATTGTCACGAAAAATACGGATAGCTCCCGTACCGTACCAAACGGGTGAAACATTCGAACCAAAGACTGTGGCTGAGGGTAAAACGGGATGTGGCTCAGTGTACGGAGCATTCTCAAGGATCCCAGGCACTAGGAATTTCGATGACAATCCGAACATTATCGGGGCTTTTTGTACGGGATGTGGCTGGTGTTTCTTCGGGCCTTTTTTTTTCGGATTGTTGCTTGCTCACCAGATAATATCGATCTGACTACGGAGTAAGCCGTCGAGATGTTAGCTCAAGGTGGCAAGAAAAGGGGCTTCCTTGTTTCCAGTATTGTTCAGTATGATATGCATGCTGGAATATGGATCGAGGTTCTTCGTGACACCATGAAAACTAGAGAAATTGTGATATTTAGCGAAGCAATCCAGGCTGTAGCCAGGGTTGATGGCATACAGGGTCTAACGACTGATAGCGACTCTATTTCCACGTTCAGTCACATTTTTACCCAATGTTTTCCCGTTGGTTGAGTAAATCCCATGGGGGGATTTTAATCGAATGAGAATCACGCTCAACGGAACCTGCTCAGAATCTGCAATTTCCGCAATGAGAACTTGAGCGAGAATGCAGAGTCTCGTGCTGGACTCTTCCAGTTTTGATTCCTCAAACACCCCGGGTTGGATAGTGTTGACAATATTATTCGGGCTTCGAGAAGAGCCCAGTCGTAGTTGTCAGGTGGAACCCTGTCACTCCGCAGGTATAGAGCAACATACAGACGTAGCTTGTTAGAAGGAGTCAATTGGATAACCAGGCTAATCCGAAGACCCAGGTGTATTGTCAGTGGGATGCACCATCGATGTTGTTTCGGGAGAGAAAATAAAGTTTGAGTTTTTAATTAATTCACGTGATCTTGAAATCATCTCACATTCCATCGTTGAAAGGCGAAAGGAGCAACAGACAAAACCAATCCTTCAAAGAAACGCCGCCTGCGAGACCCCAAATATTCATCCTGCTATCCACGCCCAACTGAACGCTGCGCGCCGACTTATTTCAACCGGGAGTCCTCGCGCCCCGCCTCGCGATTGCCAAATCCTAAACATCCCGCAGGATGGCTAAAAAAGGTACCAATTATCTCTGCCAGCTTAGCAGTCCATCAGTTTAGCCCTACCGACTTCGAGACATCTAGATGTACAAATGATAATATGCTGATTTCCGTGGAATAGCCAAGTCGCGCACCATCGCCGTCCGGCTCATCAGCATGGCGATGACGGGCTACTACAAAACCCTTGTCCGACCGCGTACCAGCAGACCCCTCAGCATGCTGAAATACGACCCGGTAGTGAAAAAGAAAGTGCTGTTTTTGGAGGCGAAGCGCGGGAAGTAAGAAGAGATCGACCTTTTCGTTTTTCTGGTGTGCGGTAATGGACGTCCACATCCCCGGAATCGACGGCTCATCCATTGCGTCGACAGTGTTTGGTGTAGGGGGAATATATTGGCATGGATGAAAGAGCCGCATATTGCATCATTTGATGTGGTCTTTCCTTTCCTTTTCCATTCACTCTGTATTAGTTGGGAAGCAAACCGTGGTCTATATTAGTGGACCACCTTTTGTCCAGGACGGTAATACCTGTGTACGAGTATACGATTGTGAAAAGAGCTTAAGACCGTTGGCGGTCCCGGGTACTTTATTTGGAGAAAATTTGCGCGGACGCCTCTCCTATTAGACGTCTTTAACTTGCATCCAAGGCTGGCGTTTTAACATAATAGATTATATGCATTGAAAATATTTTAACTATCCGATACATATTCATGGCGCTATTCCGAATCGCTCTTGGAAATTGCCGCATCGTTTTTGTTTTTTTCTCTTATCAAGCTCCTAAAAGAACGGATCGCAGAGCGCTGCAAAATATGTATCCGCTAACTACCTGACAGATCAGTAGAGATTACCGACGTTTCTCCTCGTCGCTTCAACCGCTCTGCTGGTTTCATAAATAACAGACATAAAAGGAGAGAGGCGCGATTTTGAGTATAACTGGGGACATCCACGCTTCTTATAATGGCCCTTGTTTATACATGGGGCTTCTGGGAGAATCTGCTATGGTACAGATCACCTGTTCAAATTAGCATCCAGTGCTGGGGATAGTGGGTATATTAGCCTTACCTCGCTGTTTCCTGCGAGACCTTTCTCTTGTCCGTCCAGCGGGTGCATTCAACATTTTGGCCGTGCTCCCACATCGTCCCCTTCTCGCCGTGATCGAGGCGACTGGGCTGGTTGTTGGATTGAAATATTTAGATTTTCGAGGCGGGCATCTAAATATGATTTTTGGACTTGCGCCCATCGGGTCCTCCCCGTTGGTGGCATGCGGTGGAGTTTGTACTGCACTCGCTACCGTAGATGCGTTTGGCTTGGTTGTACCTTTGAGAATCCCTTTGCGCGGCGGCTTCTCCGCATGCTTCCTGCCCACAGACTTCGCAACCTGTCGTGGTATTATTTTTAGTCATCTAGCTTACTTCTCCCCTTTCCTATATTTTATCTTAAATATAGATGACAAACTGGGGGCGGCCTACCATTGTGTGCGTTTCATCCTCGGGAATTTCTTTCCTTTTGAGAGTGCTAGAACTCGTCTTTAGCGGAGAACAAGGACTATTTTCGGAGCAAGCGTTTTTAACGTGCCCACGTCTATTAGGAGTACTGGCCGCTGGAGCAGGGCCGCCTCGAATAGCCTCACAGGGAGATTTTTGCGCAATAGGGTCTCCGGGCTGTTTACAGTCTTTATCGAGACTTGACATGCACATTACATCAATGACAGAATTTGAAATCGATGGAGTGATTCTTTCATTTGTCGTACCAACTTCGTGAGGAAGCATGGCTTTGCTTTTATATGTGGAACCTTGTGTTGCTATATTTGGTGTCCGATCAGAACCGACATTTTCGGAATTCATAGGTGTTGATGGGAATAATATGTTCAGGTCTGTGAATTCTGAGAGCGGAGATGTTTGCTCTCTCTGTCCTAGATATGGCGTTGAATCCTTTTGAAATTGAGAGAATGGCCCAATAAAAGATGTCAAGGCCGTAGGACATCTCTTGCTAACATTTTTATGTCGAGAAGGAGTTTTCAAAGTTGGGGATATAGTTTCCCGAGTACTCTGAGTCCGATACACTAACTCAGTGGTTTGGGACTCTTTAGTAGAAGAACCAGGCCCAGTACGTTCGGCATAAGTAGAAGACATTGTGCATTTCCTGCCCGTTCTTTGTCGCTTTGATGAGGTCCTCATAGGCATATGAAGTGATTCTGTCAGCTCTTCTGGCTGTCGTTCTTCAAGGCTCCCTGCCATCATCCTCAACCGTGATTGTAATTCATTTGAGCATTTTTTCAGTGACTCCTCAGTCCCAATGATCCCAAGCTGCTTTAAAATGCTTTCCGCATATTCGAAAATAGGTTCGGCTGATTGAACTCGAGATCGAAGGTCTGCGAGTTCATTGTTCCTTTGTCCGACATCACCATTTAGCGTCGAAGTATCAGCAGAGAATTCTCCACACGCCTCCATTTTCTTTTTCAGGATAAAAAGCTCGTTATTCTTCTCCTTCAATGTTTCCTCCATTGAACAGTTCGAAGCCAATTGGTTATCTAACCTCTCGTGCAAGATAGCAATTTCAGCGGATTTACCAACCAACTCTTGTTGCAACTGAGAGATCCTCTTAGTGTTCGCTTCTGATTTTGACAATTCTTCCTTCAATGACAGAAGGTTTATATCCTTCTCTGCGATTTCGTACTGTAGGGCCTCAAGTGTCTCCTGCAAGGGTTCGTGCTCTTGCAGGATCGCCAGGCTAGTGCGTAATTCGGACAGTTTATGCTTCAGCTCTTCTTTTTCCTTTGCTGTAACATCAAGTTGCCCTTGCGCGTCCTGTAACTCTTGAATAGTGGATGTATGCAGCATTTTCATCTCATTCATTTCCGTGGAGATATCCGAGTCCCTCTTAGAGACCGTCATTTTCAAGAGATCAATTTCCGATTGCTGTTCATCCATCTGTATATTTGTCAATAAATTGAAAGATGCGTGGTTAGGAGTACACGAGTATACCTTTGCAATTAAATCGAAATTGTACTTCTCCGTAGATTGCTACAACGTTATTAGTAACCAAGCAAAAATGGGTATCACTCTGGGATATTATACCAGTGAACATTTCACGGAGTTTAACTCCTCAGCAGCTTTCAGGGCATTCTTTTCGGCAACAATCTTTTCGCGCTGGAGTTTATGTTGCTCCTGTTCGAACCATGCCTGGTGCTGATCCTTCGCCGCCAAATTTGCCCTTGTTAGTTCCTCTCTCACTTTATGCTCCGTCTTCTGGGCTTCGTCGCGAATCCTGAGGCTTTTGCTTTTAAGGTCTACAATCTCAATTTCTGCAGTTCCCAACTTTTCAATCGTCTCCCTCAACTTTTGTTCCATGTCACGCATTTCGCTTTCTTTCGTTTTGAGCTCCTTTGTTACTTCGGTAAGGGCTGCTGAGGTTGCCTCAAGTTGGATGCGAAGATCCGACAACATACCTGCATCCTTGAACTGAGTTTCCTCAATTTCGTTCTTTTGTAGAGATGATATCTCAAGTTCGAGGTCCCGAATATGTCGTTGAAGCGATTCTCCTTGTGATTTAACTTTGTCGCGATCCGCAGACACTTCAGCCAAGCTTCTCTCGGCGGCATTCAACTTTTCCTGAAGGCCTCCGTACAATTCACGAACTTCTGCAAGTTGACATACCACTCCTGCGTTTGAGTTCACAGCTGACTCTATGCCTGTCAGCTGAGTTGACAACTGTGGTCCGTAGTTCGTGTGCATATCGAAAGCCGTCTCCATATTTTTTTTCCAGGCTTCGATGGATAAATTAAGTCTACAATACAATTAGAATGTTCCATTGATATCCCTCGAAAATCAGAGCTAAACTCACTGAGTAGCAAGATCCCGAATTGCACTATCCACCTTATCCAGATCTTGGGGCTTCACGCTTTGCTGCTGGCTGAGAGAATTCAACAACGACATACATGACCTAAACCCGGACTCCATTTCACCTTTGATGGAAGACTGTGAGAAATTCCAACCTTCAAGTTGCTCGTGGATCACATCTAGTTTTGTTATCATTTGGGATTGCTTTTCGTCAAGTTCTGCAGTCTGCTTGCGATGGTTGTCAGAATAATTCTTCACGTAGTTTTCCAGTGTTGCCACCCGATTCCTCTCCCTAGAAAGAAGTTTCTCATTCTCGGTTATTGTAGAAGTCGCCGTGAGTAGAGACTTCTCTAGATTATCAAATTCCAGCCGTGCTCCAGTGATAGTTGCGCATTGCTGGCTCCAGCGTGTTTTTAGTAGGTCTGTACTATCACTCATTTGTTTCAAGGTTTCGTTTATTTCTTCTTTCTCCCGGAGCAAAGAGTCTTGCGTCGACCTGAGGATTTGTCCTTCTTTCCGGAGAACTTCAAAATCATTCCCAACGTTGGTAACAAATGCCCGCAGCCTATTAAATTTCACCTTCCATCGTTCAATAATTGAATTACTAGCGTTAAGCTGTTCCTGTTGATTTTTGCAAATAATCTCCGATTCCTGCAATTTACAGGACAAGTCATCGTTTGCTCGGGTAAGTTCAAGCATTTTGCCTTCCATCCTCCTTTTAATGGCCACTGCTTCTGCTTCCATCTCGTCCCTCTTTTTGAGCCTACGGATCAACATGTAAAAAAGGTCCTCTTCTGAGGGCTGAGACGTAAACGAAGGTCTTTTCCACGAAGTATCTTTCCGGAGGGTAACTTGCTTCGAAGTTACGGGGTTGGGCCTTGCATCTGCAGACATCGGATGTTTTGTAATATTTGAATTTAACATTAACTTCGGTCGTGGTTTAGCCTCTTTCGTCCGCGACCGTGTGGGAGTTGGATTTGACCCCCTAATGTGACTGTTGGCACTTGCAGGTGAGATAGAATTTTTGCCATTAGGTGTAGGCTCCGTAAGATCTCCTTGGGCCTTTAAATAGTTAGAATATCCAACACGTGGTAGATAGGCTCAATATGTAACAAAAGTGTATTGTAAACAAATTTACAAGAGTAATAGAGGTTTTTGATGGGCAGAATTCAAATATTCCGGGTATAGTAGTAGAGGGAGTATCAACTAAACGCGAAACTTCATGGTAAATGCAATTTTGGAGGATCGAGCAGTACTTACTGCGGATTGGGCCGGCTTATTATGACAACCTTTAAAAACAAAAATCAATATTTCCCATCAGTCGAAGGACAATACAGGAGGGAGCTAGCTTACCTGTTAAATCGCCTCCTTGCCCGGGAGGAACAAGTTCGGACTGGACAATAGCCCCATACTCAGTTTCTAAAAGGCTGGCAGTCTCTTTTGAAAGACGAGAGCTCTCGGTTTTCGGCCGATAGGGTGTTTCAGTAGTGTTCAGAGCAGCATGGGATTTTTGCGGGGAGGTTTTTCTGTTATTGACATCATTTTTTACATGAACGAGAGTGTCACTAATATTGGAATTAGCTCACGGCCGGCCTGTCGTAAACGTCTTCTTACCTTGAACTCGATTCAGTACAATTAACATCCAGGCTTTTTGCTTCAGGGGCATTTAAACTGCTTCCGGGGTAATTTGAGGGAGTTGAAGGGCTTCCAACATGTTTGGTATTCAAACGTGAAGTGAAACTGGGAGTTGGAAGCTTGGGTTTGGTGAAATGGAAGATAATTCCCCCAGAATCAAGATCAGAACTTGGAGGGCGAGATATCAAAGTTGGGGTAATGTGGAAATTCCTATTCAGGGCAACAGGGGTAATAGGAATAGAACATTTCTCGAGAATTTTCTTTGACGTGGGAGAGAGACCAGGTTCGTCATTGGGAGTATTCGCAGAAAATAGTTCTTTCTCCACTGTATCGCACCCAGCTGATTGAGCCGGGGAATTGGACGTCGTCATGTTGCCAAAGGGGATTCATCATAGGCCCGGCTGTGATAGGATTAGGTCAACTGACCCGGGACCCGCTTGCTTGAGCCCTCAGCAGCTCCAGCGTGTTGATTAGATGGAGGTGCAGGAGAAACAAATACTACATGAAAGAGATTTCCCAGAGAAAGCAGGAAAGCAGAGTAACCCGAACTCGGAAATAACAATAGATAAAACCAACAAGTGGAACTGATGATCAGGTCCACCTAACCGCACAGGTCTCTCTTATTTATGCCCTTAGAGCAGATAAGGGAAAGGCTTCAATAGCATAGAGTCCTGTTGAAGAGAGATGAAGAGAGCAGAGATGTCGAGGTGAGATTGAAGAGGCAATGTTGAGGAGGTTCTTCTCCACGGGTGGGACTTAACCCGATCCAGCCGGTTTCGTAGAGCCTCCTCGCAGCCAACTCCCTCGTCACCAAACGTGACTATTTCGGCATCTAAGCAATTACACTACCACGATGGGTCAATATTGTGAATCACATCCCGGCTTGGAGACCGCTGGCGCCCCCTGGAGAGACACAGTTTAAATAGCCCTTGATAATTGCCTTCATGCTTGAAGAAGGGTTTCAAGTCAACCTTCGAGATTGGAGAGTGGGAAGGGGGTGTTAGGGTACCAAGTATGTTTGGCAACATGATATGAACCTCATACTTTTGGCCCGATAGAATCGCCGCGTGTGGTGAGCAATCCCGTGCCAGAGCAGTCTCGATAGGCTTGATCCACAGATCAAATATTTGAGTGCCAGTGTGTGTGCGGAGAACTTATAGCGAAAAAGGAGAAGTCATCTTGGTCCAGTTGACAATGGCTGTTATTCAAACATGAACAAAAACACAAAAGGCCTCATTCCCCACCACAAATATGTCGTCACCTTGAGATCGACATGTCAAGCAGACGTGATTTGTGTGCTGGTAGTTTAACACAGGGCCAAGGCTTCGTGGTAATTTGTGAGCTACTGAGTATTTTGACATTTGTGAGGGACATGATCAACATCTCCAACCGAAGCCCATTGAATTGCACATTATTTTCGTGATGGAATGTGAAAGGTTGAGGCGAAAGCCTATGAGGTTGATGTGCGATGCATTGAGAATCACCCTGGCTCTCTTGGCTATCGGCCTAGTGTGGCTAAATCTGAGCACTTCTTCATCATCATTGGGCCATGAAACTTTTAACTTTGGACGAGAGCAAGCGCTAACTCGACCATACAAACAACCGGGCTTCATGATCCTTGAGCTTCTTCTAAGGGAAGCCCAAAACAGAGAAATTCAGGAGATTGCCAAAGCCGCCCAAGGAGGGCATACCAATCCACCCACCCATAGGGGGTCATTGTTTAAAATGATCCGATTGAAATCCTTCAGGAATCTGGGGCAAGGGACCAATCTCAATTTTGGCCGCACAACTGTGGCACGTAAGCCTGCGCTTAAAGGATTTTATATATATACTGAACAACCTCCTCCCCATAGTGATATATTTTGACTACATTTCTTCCTTGATCATAGTTCTCACCTGTTCTGCTGCAAGGACAGCACCTCAGCCGATGTTAATAATATTTGGTTTTTCAAGGGACTACTTCTTGTATATCTCACAAGCATTCAAAGCCAAACTTGACCTAATCGTCTATCCGATATGCACGGTGTCCATCTTCGCCAACTTCTCCGCTCTTTTGCTTGGATGGCTGTTGCCCCCATTTCCTGCTGCTACGGCCTTGTTTTCCGCCAAGGCCCATCTGAAATTGATCGTCCACGGCATCGAGTTGTAGGGCGCGATGTGGAAATTATTCCGGGCAGTGTCGGAGATGTCGACACAGATAGAAATTGGTCTCAATCGGGGCAGGGGTCTATCAACATCTCCCAGGGCGGCATAATCGCCATAGCTGTGATTGTCGGCATCGTTGTTATTCTAGGAGGTGAGTGGTTATATCATTATCAAATGCATATTAATTCTAGTTGCTGGCTAATAAGACTTTGCGGTCGAAGTAACATCCGCGGTCCTTTTTTATATTGCTAAAAAGCGATCATGGGAAATTCGAGCCTCGATACGTCGATCAGCAAGGCGCCTTGCGACCCCGTTGACACCTCGACGTTTTTCAACAGCTCCGACTTCAAGCAAACCAAGAAACCACGAGGAGCGAAAGAAGCCAAAAGAAGCTTTACAGCAAAGAAAATCCGGTGGACGAGAAGAAACGCTGCCGCCATTCGATAGGGATGTGGAAAAGGCAGTTGATGCCAAATCGCCCACTGGCAAAAGTGAGTTCGAGCCATTTTCGCCAAAAGGATGGAAGCGAATGATTCCCTTTGGGAGTGCTCGATAATATGTTAGCAAAGGGAAATGTTCATATTATTCAATTGTTGTAGCAAATTTGATATTTGGGTCATAGGCGTTCAGGATGAGGGAAGCTTGACCCTTGGTGGTCATATATGTTTACTTTTTTGTTTGCTCGGTATGGTTTTCCTATGATTTTGTGCAACCGTAAAAGAGAATATGCCCCATCCGCCCGCCGATTGTTGTTGTGTCGTGGAGCCCCTGTTTTGGATATTCCAGGTACGAAAATAACATCCGCATGCAGCGGGCGTCGTTCCTTAATTTAGCTTCCTTCACAGTAGTATACCTCATTATTTATATTTTTTCCTACTCTCTCCTCAAAGAGTACTCCCCGAGATAAAATTATTTCGCGGTGTCATAACAGGTTTCCCTTGCACTATATTCGTTTTTCCAACCAGAAATTCAATTACTTTGGTCAGAAGTTTACGTTAAATCATCCCCTTTTTTATTATTTCAGCTCATCATTTGTTTCACTTTTCGTCATATATCCCCCATTCTTCATATTCTACATCCCCAAAGCATGAAATCATGAAGTTCAAAGCCCATCCGGCAATTTCCTTTTCTTTAAGCGGTTTTGTTGGTAATAGTATATGCCTAATTTTTGGGATACCTTGCGGGCACAAAATGTAACCCGATATAGCCCGGCCACATATGAATTTGTTTCATGAAACCGAAATGTCTGGCGCCTCGGCTCTGGACCCTTGATGATGTTATTTCTACCCAGAATAGATGTCAACGTACCGCAAACATGGCCCTCTCTCCTTCATTTTCATTCCATACACTTCTCTCCGCTACAGCTACTCTAAGTTACCGAAATCGGATAATGTTCTTTTTTTGACCGCTACTCACTTCCATGTAACCGATCGCCTTGCTCCGTATGACGCACACGTTCATACGCCGTTGTTTGGAAAACTTGCTCCAGCCAGCTAATATAAAAAGATATCGCCGGCGATATTACATTGAGCATCAGAATAGTAAAGCGAGAGTAGTTTTGCTGGAAATGGACGTAGAGCAACTGTGCGCGTCACAAAGTCAAGTAGCTCCTTAGCGGAGCTCTGGAAGATGAATCAGAGTGCTGGATCAACGATATCCAATTCCTTGTTACCCGTATTTCGAGTAACCTCATTTTTTTTCCACATACCTCCACTGTTACCTCTAGCTCATGTCAAGCAGTCACGTTCATTTATCCTTCTAGATTTCCCGCTCGTACAATACATCTCATTATGCATGTATATGCACGTTAACAGTTCATCACATAAAATAGCAGTCGCAACTCGGGAATGGGTAACTAATAATAGCAGAAACGGCAAAACCAGTGAAATATCCTTCAACACGGAGTGACGGCAATTGTTCCCAACAATCGCAGCCGGAAAGTGCCTACACTCTACCTCCGTGGTACAGAAGGTCTAATGAATTTATTCTGATGGCGTTCTTTTTATTCATCGAAAACCAGATAA